CTCCTGGCATCGCTACTAGGAGCAAAGGGCATCGCTACTAGGAGCAACGACGCTACTAGGAGCAAGGGCATCGCTACTAGGAGCAAGGACGCTACTAGGAGCAAAGGGCATCGCTACTAGGAGCAAGGACGCTGCTAGGGGCTCCTGGCATCGCTACTAGGAGCAAGGACGCTACTAGGAGCAAAGGGCATCGCTACTAGGAGCAAGGACGCTACTAGGAGCGAAGGGCATCGCTACTAGGAGCAAGGACGCTACTAGGGGCTCCGGGCATCGCTACTTGGAGCAAGGATGCTACTAGGAGCAAAGGGCATCCCTACTAGGAGCAAGGAAGCTACTAGGAGCAAGAACGCATCGCTACTAGGAGCAAGGACGCTACTAGGAGCATCGCTACTAGGAGCAAGGACGCTACTAGGGGCTCCTGGCATCGCTACTAGGAGCAAGGACGCTACTAGGAGCAAAGGGCATCGCTACTAGGAGCAAGGACGCTACTAGGGGCTCCTGGCATCGCTACTAGGAGCAAGGACGCTACTAGGAGCAAAGGGCATCGCTACTAGGAGCAAGGACACTACTAGGCGCTCCTGGCATTGCTACTAGAAGCAAGGACGCTACTAGGAGCAAAGGACATCGCTACTAGGAGCAAGGACGCTACTAGGGGCTCCTGGCATCGCTACTAGGAGCAAGGACGCTACTAGGAGCAAAGGGCATCGCTACTAGGAGCAAGGACGCTACTAGGGGCTCGTAAAGAATCCCAGTTTCATGTATCGACCCCTCAAGGTCCAAGCGACAAAGGCTGTGCTGATGTAGAGGAACGGATTCCATGCAGATGGCATGGGGCTCAGGCCACCCTTTGGGAGACCATCATAGGATCAAGGCAAAAGGCCCGTGGAAAGGCTGTGTTTCGAAGAAGCACGGAGCCTGAAATGGCTGCAACGTTTCTTGATGCTTGGACGAGCAAGAGAGTCCGGAGAGCTCTCTCTGCCTAAGCGGTCGGTCTCTCGCGGCAAAACCAGTTGAACATACGCTGCTTACCCAGGTGTCTAAGCGCAGGTGTTTTTTCGGTGTCAAAGGATTCCCTGCTGTGGCTATAGAAACAACGGTACAGGATTGCAAACCTGGGCAACTAGTAACAAGAGCATCGCTGCTAGTAACAGGTGCATCGCTAGTAGTAACAGTTGCATCGCTACTAGTAGCAAGAAGCTACTAGTAACAGAAGCTACTAGTAACAAGGGAATCCAGCTTGAAACATCTATGAAACCCAAGAGCACAGCACATGTTGCTCTAATTGAAAGTCACAGGTGACAAACCACTCGCACATGTTGGAAGTTGCTCTCATTGGTATGTGCCCCAGGACCTCCTCTAGCGTCAAACCTTTGATATCCAGCCTGGCCAACCTCCACTTGTTGGTTCGTGTGAACCTGCCGGCTTTTCTTCACGAAGGCTAGACAATGATGATTTGATCTACCGTTTTGCCATCGAAACACATGTTGACCATGAGTTAAACGAGTTACTCTCAAAATCTTTTCCCAGCTATTCATTGGGAGCACCTAACAAGGCCAAGGCCAAGCCGACTGTCTGTTTCAAGCTTCAGCTGACTCACATGCCATAGTCATAGCAAAGCGCGATTGGACAGCGAGGCCAGCAAAATGAAGAATCGGAATAGACAATAAGACAATGGAATCTACACTCCACCAAATATATACTCCCCACAGGCCTTCAGGCTCCCTACCTCAACGGCCTGGCTGACACTCAGGCCAGGGTGCCATGATCGCTCGTCCCGAAACAACCACTGTGGCATAACCTATATATATATATATAACCCCGCCGTGCCGCCAAATCCTTCAGTGTTCTTTAAGTATTTTTGAGGTGTTTTAAGTGCCAGAAACATTGACATGCTGCATCCTGTACATACGCAATGGATCCATGTCTTTCCATGTCCACATTCACCAATAAGAAGCATGATCTAAGCAAACTGTGGTCTGGACAACCAATCCTGTGGGAATGTGTAGCAATGGCAACAGTAGTGGTGGTATACCGGTGGAGTGTACTCATTTCTGGTGGCCAAAATGATTCCAAATCAGTCCCCACAACGCCTCATCAGCCTTACCACCCGACCATGGAGCTCCCTTTGGCACCTGAGACCGCTCATGGGATTCAACATGCCCACGAACAACGTGGAACACCTTCATGGCCAAGCAGTACCGAAGCAGTGCTTCAATACGTTTCACCATGCCTGTCTTGGTTTGTCATCAACCTGGTAGCTTCCTTCTCAGCAGCTTTCATCTTCAGTAAGTCCAACATTTGGCGTGCTCCATCCCCATCGCACTGGGTCCACGTGCATCCACAATGGTGTAAGTCAAAGGATTGAACTGAAAGCTTTGCCCGGAGACGTTGCCCCTGCGTGGTAGGTCAGCGCAGATCGGCCGGGCTCTCCAACCTCCAACCAGTTGCCTAGAAGTCAAGGGATTGAATAGACTTTCTCCATTGTCCATCGGTGGTAGCACCCTAAAGACCAACCCTTGACTCTTACACACACACACACATCACAGCGACCGGAACACCTGCAAACTACTCTTAGTGCAACACATTATTTGGGGGGGGTATACGTATAATATACTATATATATAAATTTGTTATATATACTAGAACCAAATTAAGTCTCCAAAATATGGCCTTTCCGGATCAAAACAGGGGCAAACAGGTTCTAGGTGTACAGAGACTTGTGTTACGGTCATCTCCAGTTTCAGATGTTTTTGCTGCGTGGGATTCACCAATTGGGGATGCACCTCTTCTGCCACAGGCAAGAGCTACAATATCTTGAACAACTCAACTTAAACACCCTGCTAACAAAAATGTCAAAATACTACCGTACATACATGATCATACAATGCTTCTAGGAGCCACCCAGTTGTGTATATGTTTTTGGGAATCTTCCTTTGGTCAAGGACAAAACTAATACTCATTGTTTACAGGCTGTGTGGCCCTTCACGGCACTGTCCAAACTGGAAGTTGTCACTACAACTTTCAGCGCACTCAGTGAAGCCCCTCCTTCTACACTCCTTTTCTTGAAAGTCACGTCAACGAGGCAAGCCCGAAAGGTTCAAGGGCGCCTCTGGAGCTAATCAACACGCAGCGGAGTCAACACTCTGATCCGGCGGAATACCATCTGAATCTGTATGCTTTCGTTAAAATTCAATCAAACTTGTTGAGCAGCTATTATCAATGTGTCTTTAAGGTTTCGAGCTCAAGCTGTGGCTGAATTTTACAGTCTGCTCGTGCTGTTTGGAGACGGTTCGGAAAGGGTGTCACACTGAAACGACAGGGCTGGCCGTGTCGGTGACGACACGGCCCTGCGACAGGCAAATCGTCCGGTCACACACAGAAGTCAGCTCATCCTGATGTGTCACCAGAAGTGTTGTCGCATTGATCTCCTGGAAGGCCAGTGGGCGGCTTTTTTGGCGATGAAGATGGGGAAGGGCCGAAGAGGACATGGGATGGACATAGGAACAAGGACGGCTTGTCACCTTTCAGTCCATATCTTCTTACGCACCCAAGAAAGGGCAGTCCAGCATTGATCACCATTGATCCTCATATCATATCTTAACATATCATAATATATCTTAGCTCTCAGCCAAGTCCCGCAGTCAAATCACTCAAAGAAAGGGTTGTGGATTGTGGGCTTTGCAAGTTTGCCCCTTGATTCAGTGCAGGAGTAAACAGTGACTGCTCTCGTTCATGTCCTTGAATTTCTTCACCAGTTCCATCACAGTGCTACTGGCCTTGGAAGCTCTGCGTCCACTCAGTCCCTAGCTGGGAGATTAGCCCAGCTTGGGAAGATGAGAGAACCTCTAGGCAAGTGAGCTGTGTGGCACAGCAGGTGCAAGTAACTCACCATATGAGCGAAACGCTCTTGAGTTATCCTCAGGACTTGCTGCTGGTTGCTTGTCCATGTGCAGGGCCTCAACCCCAGGGTAGCAATGAAATCATTGGGGCACTCGGGGTCTGGTGGATATATTTTCCTGCGACCACACAGTCAGGCATATGAGGTGTTTTTGAGTCAAGTTGCTAACTTTCAGGCCTCCTTTAACAGGTCACAAGATTGAACATGCCACACTGGTTTGAGGGTTTCATGTTGGCTCCCAGAAGCTCCAAGTCCATTTGTGACATCCAAGCTACTGCTTCCTGTGGCAAGGCCGCTGTGACCTCGTCAAGCAGCGCCACCCGCGGCTGCCGCAGCAAAGCCCTGGCCGCACAAAGCAGCTGGCGCTGGCCCTGGGAGAGAGCCAGGACACCTGCGGCATTCCATGAATGGGGCGCCTTGCGATTTGCATCTTTGGTACATTGGTTAAGCTGTTGTATATCCAACATCCAGGAAAAAACATCTATGATTCTATGATGATCATGAATCATATATATATATATATATGTGGAAATGAGAGTCAAGCTTGCAGGCCGACAAACCTTCACTTTGAGAAGGCTTGGCATGGCCTGACTAAGAACGGCTGGAAGGGAAACTCTCTGTTGCAAATATCTGAAATGTTTGGAACATGACAAGATTCTGGAATGGCACATCGGTCAATATATGTGAAGATTGCACACTGATGCTCTGGCCTGGATGAGGCTGGCTGCCACCGACCGAGCCTTGCCTGAGCCCGGATAATGCCAGCTTGGTTCCATTGAGACCAACACTTAGAAAATGGCAAGCAGCGTGGTATCTGCACGAATGGCCAACAGCCAGCTTTTGTTTGGGAGGCTCCGGAACAACAGTTGCAGGGTGCTCGTCATTTCTCAATTGTCGTGCAGAAAGTCTCTCTCTCTATAAACCTCTCTAACCTCTCTGTTTCAACACAATTCAGGTATGTTCACGTGATACGAGTAGTTTGAATGAACTCTTCAAGTCAAAGCTTGGCTAGATCGAGTAACGTACTGTAGGCGCACCCCAACAAATCAACATACCAAGCCTTCCTGCACGTCCAATGCACTAGCAGCAACGTAAGTGGATTGTTTCCCTGGTCGAGATGTTTATACTATGCAGTCTTCCCTTTCATCCGACCTTGTGCAAAGGCTGGAAAAGTAAAAGGCCAATTTAACAGGTCGGCCGCTGGTAGGGCACCTGCCCGATTCTGACTTCCAACAGCCACGGCATCTGCTTCGCTCGACGGCTCCGGGCGCCGATCTGGCCGATCTCTGTTGAGGTCACCCAGGTCAGGTCCGTTGTTCGTTTGATGCCCAGCAGCACTTTGGCATTGAGCCCCAAAGCACTCTTGCAGCTCCGCAGGAGTCCCACTGCCTGGGAGATCTCAGATCGGCACTGGGGTCTGACGGTCTGACGAACTTCAACACAAAGAAAACATCCGAAAACCGTCGTTGAAGGAGTTCTCTTTGGTTGGTTCTTTGGAGGATCTGTCTGTTTGAGGCGATGCAACTCCAAAGGCCAAGTGGACAGTGGCCACTTTTTCTTAGGCGACTGTAGAGCATTTGACATGGGCTCACATTTGTTTATCCTTGGAAGTGCAGAAATCCATCAACCTTAGCCTATCACCCAATGCTCGTCAACTCGTCAACATGAGCCACACATTCCCTGCCTTGATGGCATCCCAAAGTCTTTGATCTGAGAACTCTTCAGAGGGGTCAAGATTCCAGCGCAACGTGCCTGGCAAAATTTGGACGCAAATGGCAATGTGTTGAATCAAGTTGCATCTGAGGTCTTGACGTGCCACTTCTTTTCAGGGGCTTAGGAATAAAGGGTGCGGCTAGTATGTTTGACAAACGAAACACCGATAATACAGGCACATACAGGCACAATCACTGGCCCTTCACAACATTTCTTGTTGGTTTCATGTTGACGTGCTCTCCCACGCCGGGTACCCCTCTCCTGAGAAGAGTACTGGCTGTTGCGGAACTACGGCCACCATGCGCCCACAGGCTTGCTCATTGAGCTCGTGCAAACTGGTCTCATCGATTTCGATCTCTCCTTTGCGGTCAAATCAGGGCATGCGATGCACATTGCTGCTGGTATTTTAGCATGGGGAGATGGTTCTAGAAAAGTTCTAGTTTGTTCAGAGTGAATCCGAACATCGCAAGCAAGACCTGTACTGTAACAAAAAAGAATGCGTGTAATCTTGCACGAACAGTCTTGAACACCACCCGCTGCACCTGTGTATGGAGCCAATTGCAGGATTGCCAGGATCAAGGAGCTCTTTCCCGCACCAGTTCCTCGGTTTTGCAGGAGATACGTAGAACGAGTCTTCTTTCCTTCACTAGAGCCAAAGCACAACAAATACAAGAGTTGGTCGGTTGATTCACTCAAAGTGAGTCGTCACGATCCCAAAACAGGATCCCAATGTCACTTGAAAGCATGATGGGTGCTTTTTGCCAAGTGATGAAATGGCCTGACACCCTTCGCTTTCAAGCAAAGCTGCGAAGAGTTCATAGCAGCATGAATAGGCGTGCAAATCAATAATACACAATAAAGTTGAGATCCATAATGATCCATAATAGGATTAATGGGATGTATGAGGACACTTGGGGATGGACGTGGGATGACGTGGGTATGCACCAAACTTGCATGGTTGCTCACCAAAAGTATCCCAAAGCACATAAAAGTCCTGTCCTGTTCAGGAACAGTGGGTTCGGTTTTGTCAATATCATATCTATGTGCACGAGCATAGGGCGACCCTCAAAGACCCCCAGGTCAAAGGCACAAATCGACTGTCTGTCCCATGGGTCAAATTCTCATTCTGAAGGACTTGGTACTTGGTACCTCAAATCCGCCGAAGGTGCTGCCCACGATGGCCACGGTCTCTCCAGGGCTGAAGCTCAAGTTCACATTGTCCAGGGCGGGTGGTAAGTGTGGCCGGTACCTGGTGGGGCGCTTCTCGTGAAACCACTGACCATCAGGCCAACACGGTCGGTTAAGCAGAAATGCCATGGACAAACTACCTATTTACTATATAGGATGTAGAATGCGTAAAATCATCATGGATGCTGCCACAACCATTGTGGCTAGTGATGATTCCTCCACCCTTTACAGCTTTGACAGTCAATGACCCATCCAATCCGATGACGGCACGCTAAGTGAACAACATATGCAACTACCGGCTTCATATGCAACTCCTAGTGGATACTGGAGACATGCTGCCCACATACCTCATTCATCGATCGGCGGCAGCTCAGGGCACCTGACACAGACATTTCTGAGCTCAAGCCCTTGAGCTGAGGCGACGTGTGAAGGCAATGTACTTGCGATGTGCGGTGCTGCCCTCCTTGGTGCCAGCAAAGAATCCATGATTGTTTGTCCAAGCAAAATACTGGTAGATGGGATGCTGCAACCAGATGATGATGATGATGATGATGATGATGATGATGATGATGATGATGATGATGCCTTGCAGTACAACTTAGGAAGGCGCTCATATTCACAAAGACGCTCGATGGAGACCAACTGCATCTCCATGTCCTTAGCACTGCAGTTGGGAACTATGGCAAAAGAATGGTCCTAAGTTTGTTCGGCTGTTGGCCAACTCAGGTGTACCCAAGGCACAGCCTGGGTGTACAACTGCCGAGACCTTTCTCCATTTGCAGTACAAACCCGACTCAGCAACTCCCATCTTCATTGACTTGCTCCAGAGAATCCTCCTCAACCCGCAAACATATCTGATTGGCCATGAACAGGTCTTCAGGTTTTCACAAGTGTGTCCACATCACCAAGCGCCAAGTGTCAGAAAAGTTCATGACAAACTGCTGCACTACTCCAGACACCTGCATTTGTGCATGTGTGCTGTTGAACTATGGCTCTGCACTTTGCACGAATCGTAGCGCAACCTTTCCTCTCTCAACAACCCCTGCGAACACTTCAAAACTGTGCAGTTGGGAAGCGGGATCCGAGCTGTTTCGAGCTTTTCAGATGAAACAACAATATCCTCCACACAACTTCGCTCCTTTGGCCCCGCTGCCGCGCCTCGTTGCTGTAGTTGATGGAGAAACCCACCAAGGCTGCACTGCGCGTGGCGATCACCCCATAATATTGGAGCACCTGAGCAGTTGGCTGAGCTTTGTTACTCGCAAAGGTGCTTTTCTTGCAGACATGGAGCATTGGAGCATGGGGTGTGTACTAAATAAACATCATTCTCGCAAAGCAAAACATAGCAAACCACTGCCAGCAGCAATAACTGAACTCGGTGCTGGTGTGATTGTGTTGTCCTCCCACAGAACCTACATTGAGACATATTTATATATCTATATATATATAGATAGATTCTGCGTTGATCTGCGTTGAACATTTGGATGCTCACATCTCTGACGTGTCCCAGTTTCGCGTCAACGACTCCAACAAGCATATTTATGGGGCCTTCTACAACTCATGGAACACGTTTGAAGTATGACCCCTACCGGCGAAATATTTGCAGCCAAGGAGGATATAAGCTTCGTAGCCATCACTCATTGGTTCATGGTCCACAGCCCATTTTCCCCATGATCGATCTTGCCTATCAAACGATTCATCGGTGCTGAACTACACATTGGGAAGAATCACTTCTTCAGCTTTGCCGACGCTGCAGGAGACACGGCTTTTCATGCAGGGCCGCTGTGCTGCTGCTCAGCACAGGTTCGGTGACCTGCTTGAGGAGCCGGGCTGCAGATTCGCTCTCACTTGGGAAAATCTGGCCGGTTCGGCCAGCTCTTCAGAAGCGCTTCCAAGCAGTTCGACCAAGTCGAATGCTGACCGACGCAAAACAGTGGGAGACTTAATTCGCTGCTGGGCTGCTGCATCCATTGGACCGATGAGTCGATCATAGACAATGCCAAACATGTGATACTCCCGCAAACTAACATGGAACCTGAGAATTGACCAATGGAAGACCATTTTCCTCTACAACCAAGTGGTTTTAGGGTTCCATGTTAATCTGCAGGGGAGTATCTGATCTGGTCCTCAACTGGACTTTTGACGCTCCAATTCTCCGTTCAAGTGCAGCGAGCCCCCAGCCACTTCATCTTTGAACCATGGTTCAGTCCTAGTCCTGGTGTGAAACATACAGTAAGTGCTCCTAAACCACTCGTTACTTTCAAAATGCATGTCACTGTGTGTTTGCTTTGGACTCCAACGGATTAACTTCAACTTCAATCGAGGGCATATTTTTCTGTCAACATGCATGTCACAACATGCACATATCATAACATACAGTACAGTACATAAACATGCCGATGACCCATAGTTGGCGGCGCTCATGAACGGTCCGCTGGCAAAGAGGCCATCTCTCAACAGGATGCCTGAAAGACCTCACTGCTTGGAATTAAAGGCACTCCATTTCTAACTAGGAACGTCCATGAACACATTGGAACAAAAACAACGTTCATGTTCTTCCGTTGTTGGTCAAGGCTCTTTTCGGGCCCCTACCACAGTTCTCACCGCAAATCTCAACGTGTTCAGTCATCACACTTTAAGGGTCTCACCTCTGAGATGTGGACGGGAAAGGCCGCCCCTGCCCCAAAGCACGTTAACGGAAACTATATATATATATTACCACAACCATCTGCACAAAACACAAAATGTTGAGCAAGGGATGCTTTTGACTTGCAGGAACATCGGGAACAGTGACTTCTCTTGTGTGTGTGTCTTGTTGGTATTCGTGCAGCACCACAGCGACAACATGCAGCGTATACGTGGAAGGCGCTGGTACCCCTTGCAGTCACAGGGATCCTTTCGGGTTGCTGTGGCTTTAGTTATAATACAGCAGGGTGCAAAGGGATCTCCAGTCGTAGCCTCTTCCAAGGAAGCTCTACACTGGATGATCAGGTGAACGTACCTGCTTTGGTGCACCTGGGCGCATAATAAGACGCAGCTGGTGGCCACCCTTCAACTTCAATTTTAATTCTGCAGGCTTGCACGATACGTCGTCAGCTTGTCGTTCGATCGGTCGATGGTTTCCTTTGGGATTTGCTGGCCCATGAAACTTGATGGACCTCCGCTTCCTTTCAGGTTTCCTCACCTGTACTTCTCTTAGGAAATGGTTACCTAGGCCGGCGTGTGGCAAACCGCAAGCAGTGCAAGTACCGATCCCACACGCTGGCATGTTCAGCGTCTGAAGAATCTTGGGGCAAATGTTTGACCACGTGAATTGTGACATCGTTGGCCCAGCAACAGCTGCCACAGAAGCAGTTCACACCCAAAAACGCCGGCTTTTCAAAACAACCAACCAATCAGTCTCCTGCCTGGTGAATGCCAAGCCGCAGTCTAAAGGTTGTGGATCTCGGCGAGATGCTTCCTTGGGTCGGGCGCGAAAAGACCACGAGGACCTCGCTAGGAACCACATCATGGCAAACAAATAAATTGTTCCTCTGGCGAATGTAGTGTTTTTTGTTGGTTGCGTGGCGTGGATATGTTTGAATATTATTCAGTCCGTTATATAATAACATTGGACAAATCGAGAAAATGCACATCCACTATTGAGACAATCTGTTCTGCCTTCCGAACAAGAGTCTTCTGGTTTTGCAAAGCCGGGCTTGGTTCTTTCCTCAGATGCCAGGTGCATCTTGCCCTAACAAGATTTTGTTGGCTGTCAATGTCGGAAGTCACACGTAGCTGCTGCAAATCCTAAAGTACTTCAACGCCGGATCTTCGAACAGGTTTCACGCCATGTTTGGGGGGTTGTCTTGGCTGGTGGCTGACTGCAGCCTCGAGGCCTTTTGAAATTGTCTGCCTCAGGCTGACTATGCAGGCTTGCCACTGCGTGGTAGGCTTTCACATCCTGACACTGGTCACTTGTTTGATCGCAGCTCCAACACTTTCATGACAGTCAGGTAGCGATGGGCAATGGATGCTTCAACAGTGAGGGGGCACGAGCTCACAAAACTGTACCAACATTTCGGACACCATGTGCACGATCTGAAGGTAATCAAGGGTCCTGGGTAAAACGAGTGCAAAGGTGTCCAACCAGGAAAGTAGTTCCAAGTCTTCAAAGGGCAAGTGTCAAAGCTCCAAAAGGCTTCAATTCCAAAACGCCGGAAGATTGAGCGGCGGATGCATGTCTGCAGACCTGAATCATCCGAAGGTAGTTGCAGCTGTAGCAGGTACAGGAAGGTGATCAGTCAGCCACAACCGTAACTTCGTTGCACACTTACCCGTGGATGCCGTGTGGCCCCGCTTTCTAAAAGCTGACCGGCTCCTTGTGAATCCAAAGGTTGCGCGCACACACACACACACTTTTGAGAAATTGCGTACGGAACTGATTGCCCCAAGCCCTGAAGAAGCCTAAGTGAAAAAATTGCTTGGGTAAAGCAGGCAGTATGTAGTGCGGTTTATGTGCGGTTTGACCACCTCGAAAACGTGAAGCTCCAACATGCAAAAAACCTCCAAGTCGTGGCAACTGCACGTCAGTCAGGCTCATTAGCACTTTTACTGCAGAACCGAAGCCAAGAGAGGGGTCTTGTTCTAGTTACAAGCATGGGCCAGTAGGAATTGGAAGTCATCACTCAGCAGGTACGCAGGTGGAGGTCTCCAACTGTATCACAGGTGTCTGATGAGCGTCTTTGTTGGCACCGGTCTCATCAGCACCCCTGGTGCCCCCTGCTTATAAACAAAGTGAAAATCAACGGATTCCCTGTGATCCCAAGGGTTACACACACAAACACTCAAACACACACACACACACAGACATGCGCATACGGAAGAGGGTTGAAGAGGAACTGAGCATCGCGAAGGCTGTTCTGGCAAACAAGCTCATGACTTGATCTGGAGAAACCCAAGAAGACGCAGAACCTACTCTCTCCGGGTCCAGTGACCCTGGCTTTGTGGAGCGTGGTCTCAAACTTGCGTCCAAGAAGGCGAGGACCGGGCAAGACCGGGTCCAGTGATGAACCACAATGGACTTCAACATCCTTGGACTCCAAAATGGAACAAGAAACCATGACAGGCATCTGGAACGCGGCTGCAGAGCCGATCCCGAACTTGACGACTGAGACCAAGCAGAGTCGTTGCAGCCACGGATAGGGCGGTGAAAGGCAAGACCTTGGCACCTGCTGTTGCGAACATGGGCCTCGTTTCGTTTGTCGTTTGGGTCGTTTCGCTGTAAACTCTGAAGTTCCATGAGACTGACTTTTTGGGCCTCCCATGTGCTTGAGCTCTGCTGGCTCTGCCTGCGAATCCGCTCACACCTGCTTTTGCGCCCTAAGCCAGCTTTGCCATGGATCTCCCATGCCTCCCAGATCCTCCCAGCCTCAAGCTCCATACGTCTGATCTTCACAGCTTTTTGCAAAGCTGAAGGGTCGTCGACCAATTTAACTGAGCGTTCCCGCACGGAGTGTTCTCGGTTGGCTGAAGAATAGTATGCAATAGATAAAGATAAAGAATATCAAAGAATGATAAAGAATATTGATAGTTGCAAACAGCAATAGTTGACGCTAGCTCAACTCAGGGTCTGACGGAGGCATGTGTTCATCTTCTTTGCTTTTACGTCGTTGGCCAACCTGAGTATGGCTTGAAGATCAGCAAGAGAACATTCAAATTGCTCTGGTCAAGAAAAAAACAAGAAAAAACCCCGCTTTGCTGGTAGCATCTGAAATTGCCGGAAAGCTGCTTGTTCATTGGCAGTGGGAATCCTGCCTTCAAGGCTTTCATGTCTGTGGAATCCATCTGCAGGCAGTGACAATTTGCGGACTGAATTCGGTTAAATTGCCGGAAAAAAGAGCAAATCCACGTCTCAAACTGCGCAAATGTCCAGTCTCCATCAGTCAGACATATCAAGACTTGCAGTTCGGCACCTTCACATAGGCCGCCAAGGCCATCATGAGCCACCGACTCTTCTACACCACTTGGATTCAGATTCAGCCTAAATTAGACCAAACCAACAACAACTCTGAAGAGCCAGTGTGCTTTTGGGCTACAAGTATATATATTTTCATTTCCGGGCCTGATGTTTCCAGGAATCATAGTCTGTCTGGCCTATTGGTTCAGTGCATTCTGCTTCGGCTCCTTAGAGTGCTTCTTGGAACTTAACAGCCAACTCCATCAATCACAGCAAGCGCGTCAACTAAATGATGCTGATTAGGACTTCGGACAATCCGCCCAGTGGCGGTCCCCAAACTGGACTATGCACTTGTTCACCTCCCCCGCCATCTCTTGGAGGTGAATGTCAGACACCTCCAGTTGGAATTGTGAAACTCAACGTTTGATGGTGTCTCATTGGAACAATCACCCTCATCAGCAAAATGACTCAAAATGCTCAGATTAGCAAGTTCCTCGATGGCGCAGGTCTTGGCCATTGAACCACTTGAGTGGACAGCCCCGACCTCAATCTCCTTCTGGATCCAGCAAGGCTCCAGGGCCTCCGCCATGCGGAAGTGCCAGGGCGATCATCAAACGAGCACAAATGCTACTTGAACATCAATCACGCTTCCTGGTGACCTGTTGTGGTCAAATTGTGTCAAAATGCACCTGCGAGGGGAGTACGCCAGTGACTCTTGAGCTGGCGCAGCCCATCCTTGCAGCAAGAAACCCACAGACCTACTTTTGGAGGAATGAATCCTGCGCCATTGAGGTTACAAGTGGTGCAGGAAATCTTCCAGCAACAAAAATCCGAGCGATGTGAAGGCAATGATTGCCTACGTCCAATTACACAAGCAACTTGTAAAGCAGCTTACCTTTATTACCAGCTATCGCTCAGGTGTAAAGAAGTTAGGTGTGTGAAGCTCTCCGCAGAGTCCCTGCATCTTTTCCCCTCTGACTTTTGCGCAGGCAGTCCTGGCTCGACACTGGCTCGGCTTCGGCCAAAGCCAACCGTGAGCCCATGTACGGCTAGCAGGATGGGCGGCGACCATGCATGTCCCAGTAGATGGTTACGAGGCTTGAGGGGCAACACACACACACACAAAAGAACCCCCACAGAATAATGTTCAACTTCCCCTTCACCCAGCCTAAGGCCTGCAAATGCCTGAAGTGACTTGCAGAAGCAAACGTGTGCGTCACCCGAATTCATCCCTGATGAAGCTTGCATGCATGGCCCGGACAACGGGTGACCCCCTGCCGCGAGCTGTAGATGCAGCTATGTCGCTGGTTGAAGCTGGTTGAAGGTGCTCAGAATAAAGCCAACAAGTCCCATGCGCCTGAGTCAAAGCCAGTTGCTAACAAGAGATGACTCCACAGGTGGTTTGCCACCGCATTGAACACACTGTTTAGTTTAATCACGGTTGAATTAAGACCACTCAGCTTGAAACAGTCCGATCCATTGTCCCAATGCCCTCGGTTGTTCCAGGCTGCAAAACACCAATGTTGTGAGCATGTTGTTTTAAGCACATCTCAAAAAGGCAACTGTTTAATGCAGTTTCTTCACACGCAGTTCAAGATGTTCAAGTACAGTGCATACGGAGTGTCTATATATAATATATAATCATACACATTAGAATTTGAATAGCATGTCAACATTTTGTCAACACACGTTCCACAACCATCTCGCATCAAACCAAATTTTCTGATCAGTACTGCAGTACTGCAGCATTGGATAAATGAAACAGGATAATCATACATGTCAGCAAACACCCAGTTACGACGGTCTCAACTGAGATTCCGACGTCTTCACGAAGCTGGCGCGCTGGAATTCCTGTCCGCAAAGGGTGTGGCAAGTGTGCAACGATGAGACTGCCGGAAAATTTGAATCAAACAGCATGAAAAGGCTTGAAATATCTTACAATGACCACTGCTTGGCCAACCAATAAGAAGGGCTTGGTTGGCCATACTTCTTTTGTGGGGGTTGATGGGGGTTGTAATATTACAATATACGTATTACCCTTTTACAGGTATTTGTCCAGTAGCAACCGACAATGAACAGTGGTCATGATCAATGGAACTGCTGCAAGACACCCTATAATATAGTGGTTGACTGGAAATCATGTGAACGCTATTGTCTCGAAGACACTGGGATGAAATCAACTGTTGACACAGCCACATGTATGAGGGCCCGGTGTCAAACTAGGAAGCTGTACTGTACCATCATGCACCGACTGCTTTCAGAAGAGCACGATGAAGTAATATGAAGTATGTAAGCCCTGAATGCAACAAACCCTGACGAAACATAGGTGAAAAGGGTTTGAGTGAAACAGGATCGTCAAAAGCGTGGGTTTTTGTGCAAATGTTCCAGGTCCAAATCCAGGAAGTGTCAAACTTTCAAGTGCAAACACTCCAAGTTCCAAGGAAGTTTCAAACTTTCACGTGTAAACGCTCCGAACAAGGATGTCTCAAAGACTTCAAGCGCAACTGCTCCAGGTTCCAATCCAAGGAAGTGTCAAAAGGGCGGAAGTCGTCATTGACCGACACCAAAGAATCGCTCTGCTGCGAAAAGAAGAGAGTAGTGAAAAAGAAGAGAGTTGACAAACAAGTCTGCCGAGAACTCTGCCTCCTGTCATGGAGCCGTGAAAGCATCGCTGTGATGTAAAGTCAGGTGGGTACATGGTTGAGCTTCCCGGACCACTTCCCTTCAAGTGACCTAGCTTCATTGGACCAGGTCAGTCACTGGAAGCCTGATTTCTTGCTCTATCCTGATTTTACATTTTAGATAAAAGTCCAAAGACAACCAACTATGAATTGCCTGCACAGGCACACACACACTCGCCCCAAAGGAATCCCAGAATTTCCTGGTGCGTGGTATAGTGCCGTGGTATAGTGCGTGGCACCAACGATTCACAACGATTCACCTCCTTCCAAAAACCAAACTGGAGCCTCCAAATCTAGAAGGCATCGCATAAGCACCTGCCATGTCTGCGGCTGAATCCCCGAATTGCACAAGAACCACATCTGTGCAAGGGCACTCCTACAAACCAGTACAGTAGTCTACAGAAGTCTACAGAATGTGTTCTAATATGTTCTAATACCCTTAAAAACGGATTCTGAACACTTGGTGTCTCTTGCTTTTTCCAACTGCTTATATAGTTCTGAGATGTGCCCCGTGAATCCTTGAACTTTGAAGAATCGTCCAGTGTGCGTGTTGGGAAAGAAGGACCTCTTCAAACAATCCTGCCAGGATCCTATGACCCATCGTATAGAAGACAACACATGCTTCTTTTGCTTTTGTCTCACTGTCCTTTTTGGTGTAAGCACGTGACGTGTAAGACATATGGGGCAATAAACAATTCCCTGGTATGTCACTCTCTCGATCCGTCTAGGTCTGGCCTGTCCTCAGCCTTCGCTACCACCAAAGAAAGAACAATTAATTACAGTGGTTTCAGAGTAGATGTCACTATCCGCCAAAGGTGGTTTATATGTGGACCCATCGAAAAGACATGCAGAGGCTTGTGCCATCGACTCTGAAACCACTGTAAAGCAACAGGTTCCCACAGGTTCGACCCGCTAAATGTCCGGTCGACCTGCTCCTTGGCGCTGTATGCACGAATTGTAACACCTGCCATCGCAGCGTGGAAAACCGACATCCTGGATGTCCGAAAACCTCACGAGTCTGTTCATACACATGACTTATAATACAACCGTTTGGCTTCCTGGATAGAGGAGCATATTTTGGATGAAGCGAATCAAGAGTCAAAACATGTCAAAATATGTCGGAATCCGGGTTCACTTGCAAATTTCCCTAAACTGTTCGTTGGACATATTCTTTTCAACGAGGACCACAACATACCGGTCGAGCCATCTGTGAATTACAGCCCATGTCTGGCTCCAATCTGCCATTCGCAAAAGGAGATCTTTACACAAAGTTGCCTTCAGTGCTCACCCCGAAGGTGTTCTGGAGGTCTCTGCGCTTGGTCGCTTTCATCCTCTTCCTCTCGGCACGGCGCTCCTTCTTGGCTTTCAACTTGTCCTGCAAGGTCTCTGCAGAGTTGAAAATGCCGTTGGTGTTGGCGCCACACCTCGAGCACTTCTGCGACTTGGAGAAGGCCGCCATGGCGCAATCCTCGCAAAAATAGTGGCCGCAAGTGGTTTGCACGGCAATGCTCTTGCAGCGCTGCCAAGCTTCCCCACACTCAAAACACTCCGTGGGCAACTCCTCATCATCACTTTCATCCGTGCTGACAGTGGAGTCATCATCATCCTCGACGGGGCGCCCTTCTTCTTCCGCTTTTCTGCGCCTTTCCATCTTCCTCTCCCATCTCTTCCGTCGCTTGGCCTCGATTTCTTTTTGCTTGGCCTCCCATTCCTGCTCCAAAATGTAGCTGGGCTTGTAGTCTGACCTATCATGCGCAAACTTGCAAGAATCTCCAAAGCCACAATAACCGGTCTCTTTGTAGTCTTTGCAAATCCCACCTTCACCAGTCGTGCCAATGTACTCGATTCGCAAGGTGCTGCGCACGTTGCTCAGGCTGCTTCGCAACGGCCCGAGCAAACCTGTATATTTGGAATTGGCAATTGCATGTTCACTTCTATTTGCATATTGTTTGTAACCTCCAAGACCTCGGTAAACGCCTTTCTCAAGCGTTCCATCCTTCAAGCCTTTGTTGATTTGCTCATTCCGCTCCAGAATCGCCCGGTGGTCTTGACTCACATCGGTGTCCACCTCCAGCCTCCGGACGGCATCGGAGGAGGGGGTGTTCTCCGTGGAACCACTCGCCTTGAAGCCGGAAAACACAGCGTCCTGCTGCCGGTCAGCCAAGCGGGCTGCCTCCGACATGGGCTCTTTCCGAGAGGAGGCACCGATGTTTCCACCCTCCGTGGTGGCCGAGGCCACGGCGCCGCGGCGTCTCCTCTTGGCAGCTAAGTCTCCCGAGGCCACGGTGCTGGGATCCTCCTCGTCTTCTCGACTCGAGCGTGTAGCCTTCGGCCGCTCCCGCTTTTTGAACATGGCAAGAGGAAGACAGCTACTGTAGCCTCCCTCCTCAACACTAGTTTACAGCTACTGTAGGACTCTCGCCAAGCAGAAAAGTGATTCTTTATCATGTGGTGGTGGAATAATTGCTTTACTGTAGTCATTCTGCCGTCTTCCAAACAGAATAACTTGTTCGCCTACAGTCGATATCATTAAACCCTCTCGTACAAGGGGTGCCTAAGCTTTACAACTTTACAACATATGCTCGATGTTCCATGCAAACTATTGTCACAAGCATCTGTGCCAAAAGGGTTGCAAGCGAGGCCAAGCAAACATGAAGCTCAAAATCACAAGTCAGCTTGCCTGCTGCCCTACCCTTTCTTTCACCTCTGCAAATACAAGTGATAGCTTTCATCTACAACTGCCCTTCTGGCTTTCCAAAGTGATAGTCTGACAGGGAAACGAAACAAAAACACATGTATATTATATGTATATATATATACCTTTCTAAAAATCATCAACACCCAGCCCCCAAAGAACTCGCCTCCGGTGATTGCATCCGTCATCTCTTGGTAGACCTCTGACCTGTCTTTAGAGAAAATCTTGGCCAGAATCCGTGAGCTCAGAGATTCATGAGCTCATCAAAAATATGTACGTCAATGAGTATACAGTATACATATACACAATAAATCACATGAACTTGAGAAGTGGTGGCAGTACTGTCCTGTCTGTTCTACCGTCCACAATCCTCATGCACAAGCCCTATGCTCAGAGGCAAACTGACTCACCAAGTACAAACCTCAGCACCACCGGGGCAATCTTTCAGAAGCGGGACGGTCAAGTAATTCGAAATCAAGAATCAAAAGCAAGGCCAAAGAGGAATCATTGACATTTAGCTGCAGGAGGCAAGAGCCATGTATCTTTCTTCTTCCCGGGTTACCGGGTAGATACCACCGATCTTGCCTGCAGTGGTCCAAGACTTTTCTTTCTTGCCCAGAGTTCGTCCTGCTAAATCTTGACCAAAGGGGTTACAATTGATACATACTGATACCATGATCACCATGCAATTTGGCAAGGCATAGGTACACTGTAGTTATTTTGATCTATCTTGCAAGTCTGTGACCTTCTCGCAAGTGCCAAAAGCCCGAGTGCTCCCACGCTGAATTTCACGGATGGTGTTGCGATAATAGCGTGCAAAGTACTCCATTAGCCTCAGCGAGATGCGGGCAGTTGATCCTGACACCTCCAAATCGTCGTTCTGACAACCAACCTCCCGAAAGATTGGCAATGCTTGCAATATCTTGCAAGGAGGTTGGCTTATTTGAACACCACATGTCAGCAACTATGACTATGAGTCATGAGACGAGCTTGCAGAAAAATAAGGAGGGAAAAAACACTCCGGCCGTTTGGTCGTTCACTCCAAGTTGCAAGACAATCCCCGGCAAGAGAATGATCGACAAAGGGCTCGAGAAGGTCAACACCTGAACGGCTGGGTGATGCGCCCGACTTGCAGCGGATCCAATGGCAGGAATCACTTACAGTCCTCTAAAATAAGTTAGGGCAACCATGGGTCATCATCCTTGATGAGGATCCCAGGTTTCTGCAACACATGGCTTCGATGCTGCAAGTCGGATCGAAAAAAGCGAGCTCAGCAGTCCAATAAGGCAGCTTCCAATGGCTTTGACCGGTTTTGACTCAGGTGGTTGTGTTGGGCTTCTATTTAGACTGTTCCAACTTGATGCAATTTCTCGACAGGACTACCTTACCGAAAGACATCTGAGGGACGGGCCAAGGTGTGTCCCAAGAAGAACAGCACAGCTCCAATGATGATGCCTAAGCTTGCATTGCAAAGAAAACGGTGCCTGGTCTACTTGACCAATATAGCACTCGGACCTTCCATTAATCCCAGCTGCCGAAAATGTTGGTCACGGCCTTGTCCATCACCTGTCAATTCGAAAAGGACCGAAAGGCGGACAGCAACCAAAGGGACGTTTCGTTTGGGCCCACATTTTGGAGATCTTTGATAAATGACAAATAACTGAACTGACATATCATCCTTAAGTGCTAAATGGCTCACAAGGGCCACTCAAAAGCTGGCTGGAAGGATCAAGGAGCATTGGCTGAAATCCACTGCTTGTGATTTCTGAGTTATGGACATTTGTTGTGCTCTGCATTAACTGAACTGATCCAACTGGTGCTGTGATCTGCCTTCAAAGAGCATGGTCCCTTGACATCCTAATTGTGGATGTGAGATGCTCCAAGTAGATCAGAACATGCAAACTGCTATAATATATATATATATAATGGCTCATAATAAGATAAATTAAGTATATTCAATGTTCATCTGAAATCGCCGACAAACTAGCTTGCGCTCCCTTGCTATTTTCGGCAGTAAACAGATCAGAGAAGGTCTACCGTACCTGAAATCAACCAAAGGCCCAATGGACCAACTAGAGTCTAGAGTAGACGAATAAAACCTGAGGGGCACACAGCTACCAATTTTGAATTTTAATTGAATTTAAATTCTAATTCTCGTCTCTAATCCTAGTAGCGATGCCACAAGCCCCTAGTAGCGTCCTTGCTCCTACCCCATCCCAATTCTTTCTTGTTCACTTCAGGAAAGCGGCCTCAACATCCGCAGAGAAGCGGTTCAGCACACGCCCGGTCGGGTTCGAGTCCTGCACTGTGGCGCTTTGGCTATGCTCCCGGCATTCCATTCATTATATAAAGACCAACCACTCCAGCGCAACGCCTAAGCCGATGAATCCTGCTTAAGCTGGCAACATTGTTGTATCTGTATCGGGCCCAACCAAACAGTCGAATCCAAAGGCTGCCTCCACTCAGGTGACTGGGTGCTTGTGGAAGGGGGCCAACTGCTCAGTTATGGAATGAGCCAGCTGAACTGAACTTGAAAGTGCTTTTGGGGAGATCCTGCTTGGCGAACCTTCCTTCCTGCAGCTGGGGCCCTTACCCACCACTGGAAGGGCTTGTAAAGCGCTCCGTCCAATGCGCCTGCCTTGGGCGAAAGCTGAAATTGTGCTACTGCTTCGTGAACTGCATGAACACTTGTTACTAGTAGCGATGCCCTTGCTACCAGTAGCGATGCCAGGAGCTACTAGTAGCTTCTAGCTACTAGTAGTTAGTATCTTGAGCATGGTACAAGTAGTGCAGTCTTGAACCAATTTCTCGAAAAGACTCATTCAAGACCTCGATAGACCTCTCGACTTTACCCTTCTCTACTCATCCAAGTTGCATGTCGGGAAGAATATACTTATTCGGATTCGCAAACCACCAACTGAATCACCTAGACCGGGAAAGTGGTTCTTGATGCAAGTTCGCTCCAAGGCAGGGGCGAAGATCTTTTTTGCAGCACCTGATGGTTGGCCACATTCGTGACTTACACAGGAATCCCACTGGCAAACTAGATGCTGTAGAAGTTGTTGAGTGCAAAGCAAGTCCAACATGTTGAACCTTGGATACCAAGCCTTCTGATTTCATCCTGGCTTAAGCATCACGAACATGGATTTTGCCCAAGTGTTCAAACCGCGGGAAGCATGTTTGAACCAGGCTCAAGCCTGAGCAGGCTTCCACCTAATGACCTGACTGGCCTTGGGTGTCCTCTCCGAAAAGCTTGTCCAGGTGGACACCGGTGCACGTTGTGAAGAAACTACAACTATTATAACCGCTTCAGGCAGCATCGGGGAGGGCACCTCCACAAAACCCTTAGAAAGCGCAATAATCCTACCAAAACCAGTGGGTTTTCCTCTTTTTGCATGAACACCTACAAATTTCCTCCAGGACATATATAAATCTCTGACTGACTCGTTGTGGGGAGATCTGTGCTCCAAGCATTCAAACAAATGGAGGATTCCCACTTCACTCTCACATTGACATATGGGCGTGCCGACCAGTGTGCACCACCGACCCTTCCAACATACATTATATACCTTCCCTAGTTCAGCGATGATCCCACCCTATTCCTGCCAAAATGCCCCTCTTTGGGGATGCTGTTTTAGTCATGAAATACCATTCAGCAATGTTGCTACTGTATCCGAATTGAAGATGTCGTATCCTACTGATCTTGGACCAAACTGATTGAAACGACCTGTCATGATTCCTTCTGCATGCCTACACATGTATCAAGTCCTGGCAACCTGCATAAGCATCTGGGACCAGAATCATGAATGATGAGGTTTGCAATAATGTTCGGTTTATCTCTGAGTTCTTGAGCACAGGCTGAGGAGATCACGAATGCCACCAACAATCTCCATTCCATGGCCAGCAAAGTTGGAGATGAAGAAGCATGCAATCTCAGTGTGGAATGCAAAGATGCAGTCAAGAGTCGTTCCACCTCCGACGCAAGACTATATGCGCCCTGACCTGCCCTGATGGGTCATTGGTAGCTCATTGGCAATGCAGCAACAATGGGCTGATTCTTCCATCCTGACTGAGCATTTCACGTGAGAGGCACCGACTGGGGAGCACCCAAAATCATTGGTGGCTTCTGAGCTTCAGGCCAAACCACCATAGACCCACAGCATGGTGCGGGTATCTGTGGGAGGTGCAATTCCAATGGCCTGCAAGCGATATAAGACTAGTACTGTAAAGACATGTCTTTCACATACTGAAGTGGCACCTTGGTCAAGTTAAGCCCTCGTTGAGAGCCATGTATGTCCATTCCATGTTGGTCAGTCTTGCAGTTTCTGTGCATTGGCAGCTCTCCTAGATTGCACACTTGAATGCAAGCGATGTTGGAAATCTTGTGGCATCACAACAGATGGACATGAAGAATCTTGCAGGGGTGCCTCGTACAACCACCAACCCATCTCCATCTGTGCTCTGGAACTCACATCGCCTTCATCCAACTGTACATCAACGCGGTCTCCTTCTTTTCAGACGTCCAATACCTGGCATGCCGGAGTGTTCTAGACTGTGGGAAGTCAGTAGTTTGCAACACCAAAAGCCTTGAAGGCCTCTTCAAAGAAAGCTCTCGAAATAAAGATAATATGGTTTATATTTTATATTTTTAGCGGGTAGGCCGCTAGGAGGTAGTAGCTAGGTAGCTAGTAAGTAGCTAGGTAGCTAGTAAGTAGCTAGGTAGCTAGTACC